GAGGGGGCCGTGCTGGACCCGCCGAGATCCCGCATCTGTCAAGGACCCCTTGACTCCGTCAGGCTGTCCTCCGTACCCCCCCTGCAACCCCCTCCCCATCCTCGGCGCTAAGACTCCTCGTTCTGTCTCCTAACCTTCAACTCTCCACATCCTCCTTCCACAGCCCCGACTAGTTTCAGATCTCATTGCCTGCTTGGTGGTCTGTCTTACCTTTGTGCGCCCTCTCCCCCCTCCCCCCACCGCAGAAAAATGTTCCCCTTCTGCTCTCCGGAGACTCTTCCAATCTCCATCAGTTTTGTGTCCATATCATGTCACCTTTGCCCTCTCTCCTTCTTTCTTTTTTCTCTTTTCAGCACAGATGATTGCTCTCCACAGGGGATGAGGGGTGCCTTTCTTTCCCCCAGCATCACATCTGGGCTAGGGGACATTTTATGTGAAATCTTATTTGGTGGAGTAGGGATCTGTGTGAAATCACTTGAGAGGCTGGAAATGAGACCACTTAAAAATTGTGGGAGAGGGACTGGATTGATTGTAGGAAGTCACATAGGAAGGGTGGGGATAAACTTTGACACCAAGAAGCAAAACTTGGGGTCAAAGAACCCCTCATTCCCATGGGAAAGGGTGGCGGCAAGAGTGGCAGAGTGGGAGCAGGAGACAGCCGAGGAGAAGGGTGTCTGGGCATCTGATCCTGACCTCTTGTGCCATTTTGGCAAAGGTTGGGCCATCTCCATCAACTATCCTGTGTTCGGTGGTACAACTGAGGTGAAGGGAAGAGGTGGGGGGGGGGCCTGTCTGTCTGCCACTCTCTCTAACCCTATTTATCTGGATTTTAGAGAAATGGTTCCTTCAGGAAGCATATCTCTGTTCCTCTTTCATCTCCATCTGACCCCTGATGTACCCATCCCTCTAGCTTCTGACCTTTGGACCCCTTGACCTCAAGCGCTTGATCTTTGGACCCCATCCTTGTATGAAAATCCAGGGATTTTCCACTGATGCTTTAGCCTTGACTGGGAGACAGACTTAGTGTCCCTCTCTATGATAAGAACTATTTGTTGGTTGGATGCAGCCAGTCTCCAGTAAGGTGAACAGAACTGCATGAAAGAATGGGGCATTGACCACTGTCCATGGTTCTGGGGGGGAAAAAAAATCCCTGAAGTCATTTGGCCATAGTCTACCTGGACATCAAAAGAGAGCGTGAGTCCACACAGGCTTCAGAGTGAGGCCCCCGTTAGCTGTCCCCTTCTCCTGTGAGGATGAATGTGGGAGGGGGCTTTAGGGGCCCAAGGGATCTGAGCTCGAGGAGTAAAATAAGCAAGCGAGGAGAACTAGCCAAGGGAAGAATCCTTGCATTTTTCCAGAATGGGCTGGGGGGGGAGGCCTTCTGGAAAGAAAGAAGGGTCTAGAAAGGGACAAGGGAGGGGGAAGATAAGGGCTTATCCTAGTTCACCCACTCTAATTCAAGTTGAGAAGCTCTATATGCCCCAATGTCTCCTCTCCCTAGGCCAGCTCCCACTCCCCTTGCCTCCCACCTCCGTGAAGCTATTTTTAACTGTGCAGAACCAAAAATAGCTTGGCAGCAGCTTCAGGCCGTGGGAGAGGAGCTATTTATATCACCAGTGACGGTTCCAAAATAGCAAGCAGGAGGAGGGGGGCGGCTGGCACGCTAGAGAGCTCCTGGCCGCTGCTAAAAATACTGGCAGTGTGAGTCATCCGGGCCTGGCTGAGTCACCCCATTCTCCCCCCCCCCCGAATCGGCAGGCAGCAGCAGCAGAACAGAACAGGCTAAGAATTGGAAGCTTGAAATGGGGGAGGTATCAGAGCCCATCATCTATGGGAAAGTGGGCAAGAAGCGATTTGATTCAAGAGGGGCTTTGGGGTGAATGTGTAGAAGGAAGGGGGGTGCAGCTACACTCACTGGGTGAGCCTGCAGTATTCCCAGCTATGCAGTGCTGTTTAAGGATGCATGGGCAATTGATGGGAGGGAGCCAGACTGAGGGTGTGCATGTGTCTGTCTGTCCATTTGACTGTGACTATATTTGTATGTGTGTGTCTGTCTGCATGTAACTTTGTGTTTGTGTCCCTGTGTATTTATGCATTTGCCTGCATCTATGTCTGCCTTTGTAAAAAAAAAAAAAAAAATGTCTACCACTTCCTGCGTTATGGGTAGTTCCATGTTTGTGTCTGTATGTGTTCATGTGTTTGCAGCTTTCTGTGCCTCCTTGTCTGTGTGTGTGTTCGTGTCCATATGTGAGTCTGCTCTGTGCCTTTTATTCTCAGCATCCAATGGAGAATGTGAATTTGCATGCATCCCCAGCCTCAATGCATCTTCTGTTGCCCTCTCTGATATCACTTGTTGGGCTCTTACACCACCTATCCCTTACTCACCTCTCTCCACCCAGCATCTTCCTTTCTTCCCGACACTCGGCCCCCAACCATTTGTGAAAGTGTGTGTTGCATGCAATCTCTAGTAAAAAGATGGAGGAAGTGAGCCCCATATGACCTCTCCCTTTTCTCTTGAATTATCCCGAATCCTCCCTGGCCTGCAGGAGTAAGTGGTTTTCCATCGCTCCATATTTGGGGCGCTGAGGGAAGAGAAGGGCTTTCTTTAGTTCTAAAAAAAAATTCCTGGTGTGGGCACAGGCATGCGCAGCGCGCACACACACACATACACACACAACTGAGAGAGAGAATGAGAAGAGAAAAAAATATCAAGGTCCCTTCTTTACTGAGACAAGCTCTTTGCATCTGTTGCCATGGCAACCCGCCCACTCCTTCCCCGAAAAATCACCAAGAAGAGGTGATGGCATTGAGGACGGATTGGCTGATTTCTTTCTTTATTATTTTTTTCTGAAAAAGGTCTTTTTATAGCAAGAACAGGCCGTGAGATCCCTTGCTCCTGTCTTGCATAGCTTTATTGGGGACCTGGAGAGACATCACCCCTTACCCACTCTCAAAGAGAAGGTGTATCTTTTCCAGAGATTTTGGGGAGGATGGCCTCCTGAGAGGGAGATGGAAAGTGATGGGAAGGTGGGGGGCGGTGTCTGCTTCTCTAGAACAGTATGGAGACTCCTGGTTAGGGCTGCTTTTCTGGATATTTGGGGCAAGGATCTTTCTTGACAGAGGACTGTTGCAGTGTATTCTGCCCTGCCCTGGATAAATGTGTTTATGATACAAGAAGGAGAAAGAGAGAGGAAAGGGAGGAGGGG